CACTTTGAACCTAAATTAAGACAATGAACACCTGGAAGTAGACTTACACACATCCACAAGTTCTAGTGGCTGTCTCTTCAAGGGCTGAGTGGATTGGTATCACGTGGTGTCTCCTGAAAGGATCTGTTTCCATGTAATCTACTTACACTGTGCTCCTGAAGGTGATCTCAGAGCAGCTGACTCGGGGAAGAAAGAGGATGTAACCCTTCTGCTGCTCTAGAGCAACTAAGCTACCTGAACAGAGAGCCCGATTTTATAAATAAGGCACTGCTGAGGATGATACTCTTCCTTCTTTGTCATCTCTTCTTATGATGCTAAATTATGACCACTGAAACTAAGACAATTACACCAGGAACTGGAGGAGTCTGAGGGCTTTTTGTACATTAGCAAAAAGTTTCCCAGAGTCCACTAATCATTATAAGAGAATTAAAGACTGATAACTCATAAAGAACAGATTGTAAAGCTGGGTGATGCATACCTTTAATCCCAGGACTCAGGAGGCAGAGGCAGATAGATTTCTGTGAATTCAGGGCCAGCCTGGTCTACAAAGCTACACAGAGAAACCCTGTCTTGAAAAATAAAAATAAAAAAGAATAGGTTGTGATTGGGTGTTTTCTGTCCTCTGAAGGAAGAACTTGAGTTTGAGTGAAGTAGCTAAGAGTAAGGTGCTGAAATAAACACTTTATGGGACTTTCTGGTTGTTCACTTTGGGGTTGTGATGTGTTACAGTGTTTGTATTTGTTTGTATTTAGTACTTGAGCCAGTTTCTAAGTTCACCTGGTATAGTACTTACCTCAGAACAGTCCTCTTGAGTGTTTTTGTTTGGAAAGAGAAGGAGGAAAGAAGAAAAGAAGGAAATAAGGAAGAAAGGATGACTTAATTCTAGGGTGAGGCTTTGCGTCAAGACAAATGTAATTGAGTCTTGTGGTGAAAGAGGAAAAAATCTATGTTTAAATATAATAAATTTGTTTTTTTTAATGGGTACCTGCATTGAAGTCCCCCACAGTGCATGTTATTGATGAATGTGTTTCTTTTGGAGATGTTCCAGTGTGTGTGTGTGTGTGTGTGTGTGTGTGTGTACGAGTGTGTTCATGAGTGCACAAGCACCTGTGTGTAGATTTGCATTATGGGAAATAGATTTACCAGAATTTGGAGGCAGCTGATAAATTAATATGGTATCAATAAGATGAAGCCAATCCTCAGGCTAAATTCCTTTCTAGTTTCCCAGAGTCATATCTTGTGTTAGTATCTTGTACATCTTACTCACATCTTGCTCTTTTTCTTGTGTTTTACTTTGGAGTCAGTCAAGCCCAGAGTTCCAAATCTCTGGGTCTCTTCTCTCTGTGTGTAGCTTTAGGCCTGCTTAACACTCTCAGCCTCAGTTTCCTTATTTGTTAAGTGAGAATAATAAAACTTTGCAGTTGTTGAAAAGTTGAAGATAATATGCAAACACAGGCCCAGAGCATTTCTATTATAATTTATCATTCACAATTTGACACTGTCTTTCCATAATGAGTACCTAGTGAAGGATGGTGATATGCTCAGTAGAACACTTGCCTAGCATTACAAGATCCTAAATTTGGTCTCTAACAGTAGTAGTAATAAACAACCAATTTGCCAAACTTGAATGTCACTTAAATACCATATTTCTGTCAAGTTAAATGGACAATCAAGTAAATCATAATACAATATGGAAAAAAGGTTTTTTAGGAGTATAAGTAATTTATGAATCAATATTAAATGCTAAGGAATTATAGGATAGTCTTGGAAAAATATAAAAAAACATTTCCTCTCTTTTGGTTTTTGCTTTGTTTGTCTTAATCAAATGTATTTCAGCAAATCTTTAATACCGTGTGATATCTCTCTTATTTCCAAGGATTATTCTGATAAATTCTCTCTATATAGCTATAGTTGAAAATCCCTGGAAGAAAGCTAATTTAAATTATTGAAGCAGATGTATTCAAGTTGCTTACTTTATCTTGTTCTGTGGTGATGCACTGTAATAGCCCTGTCGTTTGAATAGAGCCATATGATGGGAGACCAAAATAAGATGCTAAGATCAGGGAAAGGGGCTTGTTGTAGAATAGTAGTTTAAGATGTGCTACATTCTTTTATGTTATGGAATATTTGTTTAATGATGCAAAGATGTGATGCATTCTTTTATGTTACATTTGTTTAACTCTGTAAAGCTGAGTTAATTTGCCTACCTAAAACACCAATTGCTCTAATAAAGAGCTGAATGGCCAGTAGCTAGGGAGGAGAGAGAAATAGGTGGGGCTGTCAGGCAGAGAGAATAAATAGGAAGAGAAATCCAGGCTAGAAAATAAGAGCGAGTGAAGAGCAAGAAAGGGAGGAAAGGAGGATGCCAGGGGTCAGTCACACAGCCACAGAATAAGAAAAAGATATACAGAATAATAACCCAGAGGCAAAATGTAGTTAAAGAGAAATGGGCTAATTTGAGTTAGAAAATCTGGCTAGAAACAAGCCAAGCTAAGCCCTGGCATTCATAAGGAAGAATAAATCTTCCTTTATAATGGGGGCTGGGTGGTGTGGCCCAAAAAGAAAAAAAACTACAGGGGCTGACTCAAATAAAAGAGCATTCTGATCTTCGAACTCCTAACTGAGAAGTGTTTCTGTTATTATCTTCACAGAAGACATGAAAATGAACAGATGGAAAACAACATTATTACCTCAAAATTACACAGAGTTCAGTTTTTTCTAGTATAGAGTTATCATACCTTTTCTGTTTTAATAACTACTGTGATCCCCCTTGCCTATCCAAACATGGGGCAGAATACTCATGCCAACATAGCCAGCACTTTACCTCTCACAGTCATTAGCGTTAGGTCATTCTTGGAAAGCATTTTGGCCAGCGTGGCATCAGATGATGGATGCTCTTTATATGAGCTGAACATTAGTGTTATCATCTATTGAGGCAACACATCAGCCTGGCCAATAACCAACTTCAAGTTCATTGATTCTAGAGCATTGCTGGTCTCATTGAACACCAGCATCTCTGTTGATTCTTCCTTTTTTCTACACTTCGAATGCCTTCCTTTTCTAATTCTAATTTTAATGTATATTAAAGCAGTTAATTTGGTTGAAGTCAAATTTTTATGCTAAAAGGCCTGTGTATAATTGCATTTCCAGATTCCATTTTGTTTTTACTGACATTTTTAATACCTAACACAATCACCATTTTATGCTTAATTATATGGCCAAGTTATATTCATTACTTTGCATTTTGCAAACTCACTTCATTCCCAGACTATAACAGTAGCTTCAAGATGTTGCTGAAGTGAGAGTGTTAGCAAGGTGTGACAATAAATGTAAGTCCTGAAGCCAAGTGGCCCTGTTTCAGGATCACTCCAACACTTAGCAACTGTGAGGCTTTGACAATCCTCTTTAAACAACATCTCATCTATAAAATGAATTTGGTGACCTTATCACATTTGATAAGATCCAATTTATCGCTCAGCAAATTGAGATCTAATAAACATGTAACTTAAATTTTTATCTGAAACTCCATACCTGTTAACTACTTCCATAATTCTCTGAAATTTCATAATATAATTTTCCTTGCTCTCTTAAAAGTGTGGGCTTACTTGAAAAGAGCAGAGCACTGTTGTTCATGAATTGTCATCACTGAATGTTTTAGCAAAAACCAATTATTTTTGTTCATGAGAATTTAGTAAAATGGAAACTCCCATGCAGTGCTGGTAGGAGTATGTAATAGCACACCCTTTATGGAATGCAATTTGGCAATAATTTTTAAGCGCCTCACCAAAGTTTATTCCCTTTAGTTTGGTAATACTGCTTCTAGAAATTTATCTATTTTAAGGACATGGTCAGAAACTTGTATAAAACATGCTCATGGAGATGGTTTGCTGAACTCTCTTTTATGGAATCCTATGAAATTACTTAAATTACAAGGGATCAATGTGGTTTTATAAATTGTATCATTTGTTGAAATAGTATATAGCTGTCAACACAATATCTTTAAAGTATTTCAATAGCATGGGGGGAAATCTCAAAAAAAAATTTAAGTGGAGAGCCAGCTAGACAATTAGATGGGTAAAGTATTTGCCAACAAACCTGACAACCTGTATTTGATCCTTAGATCTTATAAGGTGAAAAGAGAGAACTGACTCTTGCAAATTGTCTTCTGATTTTCATATGCACATTATGGCACACCACACACACACACACACACACACACACACACACACACACACGCCCACACATGTACACATGCACGCACACACAATGAATGAATGTTTTTAATTTCGTTAAATTAATTTTTAAGTAGAGGAACAAAACATTATAAAATTTTGTAAGTGATGTGATTTTTTCTGCTTTGTAAGGAAATTAATGAGGTGATAGTGATGTATTATTTAAATATAACATTTTACTTATTCTGAGACCTTTATAGACACATACAATTTTATATTTATTATATATACCACCACTTCCCATCTCCAGTCATTCCCAACCACCTGCCTCCACATCCTCCTCGCAATTTAATGCCACCCCTCCCCGTTTTTACAACCCACTGAATTTAGTGCTGCCCATTTTCTGCCTGTATGTGCATGAGTATAGAGCCATATACTGGAGCTCGAATAATGTATAGGCAACACCATGAAGAAAACCACTTCTTACTCCCTCAGTAGCCATCAGATGCCAATCCCTTTTCCTCTGAGGATGGGTCCTGTGGATCCTTTCTCTTAACCATGCTGAAATACTGACTGTATCTTCTTCAATCTGAAAATTTTAAAGGAAAAAAAGTGCTTAATTTCAACTTGTATAGAGAGATCAAAGTATACATCCAATTTTTTTAGATCTGTTTAATTCATTGTTTAATGGTATTAACTTAGAGAATATATTAGAAGAAAAAACTTACTATTAGTACCAAGAATAAATTGTAAGAGGAAATTGGTCCAAACTTTGAGCCTTTTATAGTTATAATAAACATTAGTATTTTTTTTCTTTTTGTGACCTAGGAGCTGTGAAGGAAGAAATATTCGATATAGAACATGCAGTAATGTGGTAAGTGTGAGCTTCTTTGATTGTGAGATTATATTTAGGCCCTGGGATATGTTAAGAAGTTTTATGGATCCTGAGTGGAAAGCCAATCAATTAGTAGTTCACAAAGAGTTATTGCATGATATACTGATTACCCAATCGTCTCAAATGTTCCTCAATATAAACTTTTAGTCATTCAAGCAGATTAAAACTAACTAAACTATTTCAAAACACAGTTCATTGTCTCCCTGCTCTGTCTTTTCACATATAGCTCTCGTGAGAAATGAGGCAGAGGAATGATAAAACGGAAAACACTTGGAGTATCATGAAATAAATATTAGTTAATCAGATACAGGTTTGCTGGATGCCTTCATCTGTCCAGCAAATACTTAGTGTCGGCTACGTGTGAGGCACTGTGCTAGCACAGGGATAAAGAACATATGCTAACTGCAACAGAGTACTGGGTGGAGAGAGGGAGATGGATGGACACATAGTCTCATTCCTGAACAGATGTGACAAATGGCAATAGGGATGAAGTTCTTTGGAGATGACAGCAGAGAATTCTGAAGGATCTTAAAGGAAAAGATGGTATGAGATAGAGCTTGAAGGGGCATGACTGGGCCATGCTGTGTGTAAGGAGATGACAACTACTCCAACCAAGTGAAGACTAAGGGCCTCTTTGGAGACAGAAGTGTTTAAGGGTGTACTTCACAGTCATTTTAGTAGCTTGCACCCACCAACATGCAGGGAAGAGTTAAAAGGTGTTTTTAAGGTCATATCATGAAGAGCTTTGAATATTACCTTCCAAGTTTGTGGGTTCTGGGGACACTGGGGGCTCTGAAGTAAAGATGTGGTGCGGAGTCTCACGTTCAGAAAGAAGTTCTGTAGTAATAGCTAAGTTGCACTGGATCATGGACTATATGGGAAGACAGAGTTTATAAGGGCTTAGTCCTGGAGGAAATGCATCCTAGAGGGATAAAAAAAGATTAGGCCACTGTGTATGAGCAGGCAGAAATGAACAAGCATCTGAAGTTAGGGTGAAGCTAGAGTAAAGGAAGCAAAGAGGTAAGCACACTGTGAGAGCTTTGCACTCCCTAATGCATTTGTTCTTGAAACTCTTCCTCGTTGTTTGCTTGATTGGCACTTTTGTGTTTAGACTCAGTTGCCATGTCTCTTCTTCAGAGTGGCCTCCTGGACCATCCTTCCTAATGTGACTGTCCTACCACTCAGCTCCACTCTTCACAATAGTAGTTTCATTCACCTTTTATTTGTTTGTTTGTTTAGTCATTCATTTAGTTCCTTTTGAAACAGTTTCACTACATAGCCCTGGATGGCCTGCAACTTGCTGTGTAGACCAGGCTAACATGAAGCTCACAGAGATCCACCTGCCTCTTCCACACAAGCGATGAAATTAAAGGCATGTACCACTACACCAAGCATTACCTAACTTTCTTTACACAACTTTTCTCTGCCAAAGTTTATCCTACTGGGTTACTTTCATTGTGTGTCTATACACACTCTACAAAGGCAAAAACCCCATTAATATTTTTTTAATCTGATGTTCCTAGGAACTAGAACCGTTAAGGAGCACATAAGTTCACAATGGATATTTGCTGAATACAAAATGAATACTCAGAATGCTAGGTGAATGATGAGAAACAGTATCAGATATAACACAGTTTTGTGGGCTGGAGAGAGGCTCGGCAGTTAAGAGCACTGTTGCTCTTCCAGAGGACTTGAGTTCAGTTTCCAGCACCCACATGGTAGTTCATAACTGTCTGCAACTCTAATCCCAGGAGACATGATGCCCTCTTCTTCCCTCTGCAGGCACCAGACACAAATGTGGTACACAGACACATTTGTAGGCAAACATTTATACACATAAAATAATAAAATATTTTAAAAACAAATAAGACAGTTGGAGATGTTGTTGGAGGAAAAAAATCAATATATTTGATCTAGGAGTACTGGAGAGATTGACTTGCAAGCTCCAACTGTAGATGATACAAGTAGGTGATAGGATTCTGACATAGGTAAAAGTCAAGGCTTAAGATATAGAACTACAAAATAGAAAGCACAGAGTTTGAAAATTTGAAGGCATCCCATTAGGTAGAGTATAAAATTATAAGGGAAGGAACTTCGGGCCTTCTTGGGATGTCAGCATCCAAACTTAAAAAAAAAAAAAAAAGAATATGGAACCAAATAAACCACTGTGAGAGAGATAAGTAGAAAGTAGGAGAGAATCTAAAAGATGTTTAAGAGGAAAAATATTGTGAAGAGTTTAAAGAATAGGTTCTGTGGCCCTGCTCAGAGACATCTGACACAGGGGTCTGCTCACCAGATCTGAACTCGGCAGCGGTTTCCAACACATGCAGACAGTGCCAAGGTCCCAGTAACAGTCCCACCTCTATCCACGAGAAGAAGACAGACATCAGAGTATTGGAACTGTTTGCATCTACCAGAAGGGAACCTTGGTCCCATACCTACCAGAAGAGGAAGAGGCTCCTGCTACACCCATCAGAAGAAAGGATGAGAAGAGGACAATGTAAAAGCAATTCAACAACAGAAAACTCAATATGAAACTACCAGAGACTAGGAACCACACACCAGAAAGACCTGAACATCACAATGCAGATGAAGCAGAAGAGAATGACCTTAAAAACATCTTCATGAAAATGATAGAGGACCTCAAAGAGGACATGAGCAAATCCCTTAAAGAAATGAAAGAAAAAAAAACAAACCAAAAAATACAAGATATTAACAAATCTTTCAAGGAAACAGTTCAAGACCTAAAAACTGAAATAGAGACAATAAAGAAAGCACAATCTGAGGGAATGCTGGAAATAGAAAAGCTAGGTAAATGATCAGGAACTACAGACACAAGCATAACCAACAGAATACAAGAGATAGAAGAGAGACTCTCAGGAGTAGAAGATACACTAGGAGAAATAGACTCATCAATTAAAGAAAATATTAAGCCCAACAAATCTCTAACACAAAATATCCAGGAAATATGGGATACCATGAAAAGACCAAACCTAAGAATAATAGGTATAGAAGAAGGTGAAGAAATCCAACTCAAATGCACAGAAAATATATTCAACAAAATCATAGAAGAAAACTTTCCTGACCTAAAGAAAGACATGCCAATGAAAATACAAGAAGCCTACAGAACACCAAATATACTGAACCAAAAAAAAAGTTCTCCTCGCCACATGATAATCAAAACACCAATCATACACAATTAAAGGTTGAGGAAAGATTTTCCAATCAAATGGACCCAAGAAACAAGCAGGGGTAACAATCCTAATATCCAAAAAATTGGACATTAAACTAAAATCAATTGAAAGTGATGAAGGAGGTCACTTCCTACTCATCACAGGAGAAATCCATCAGGATGAAGTCTCAATTCTGAATATTTATGCTCCAAATACAAAGACATCCACATCGTAAAAGAAACATTACTAAAATTCAAACCACACATAAAACTGCACACATTTATAGTGGGAGACGTCAACACCCCACTCTCACCACTAGACTGGAACACCAGACAAACTTAACAAAGAAACAAAGGAACTAATAGAAGTTACGGCACAATTGGACTTAACAGATACCTATAGAACATTCCATCCAAATACAAAACAATATACTTTCTTCTCAGCGCCACATGGAACCTTCTCTAAAATCAACCACATACATGGCAACATAGCAAACCTCAACAGTTACAAAAAATTGAAATAACCCCTTGTATCTTATCAGAACACCATGCTTTAAAGTTAGAATTCAACAACAACACAAATTGCAGAAAACCTATAAAATCATGGAAATTAAGCAACACCCAATTGCATAATTCCTGGTTCAAGGAAGAAATAAAAAAAGAAATTAAAGATTTCCTAGAATTCACTGAGAATGTGGACACAACATGCCCAAACATATGGGATACTTTGAAAGCAGAGCTAAGAGGAAAGTTCACAGCGCTAAGTTCTTCACATGAAGAAATAGGAAAATAATCACACTAGAGAATTAAGAGCACAACTGAAAAGCTTTAGAACACAAAGAAGCCAATACACGCCAAAGGAGCAGGCACCAGGAAATAATCAAATTGAGGGCTGAAATCAATAAAATGGAAACTAGGAGAACAATGCAAACAATATAACAAAGAGTTGGTTCTTCGAGAAAATCAGCAAGATAGACAAACCTTTATCAAACTTACCAAACAGTAGAGAATGAACATGCAAATCAATAAAATCAGGAATGAAAAGGGGGACATAACAACAGACACAGAGGAAATCCACAGAATCATCAGGTCATACTTCGAAAACCTATATTCCTCAAAATTTGAAAATCTAAAGGAAATGTATAATTTCTGGACAGATTTCACTTACCAAAATTAAATCAAGAACAGATGAGCAACTTAAATAGACCTATAACCCCTAATGAAATAGAAGCAGTCATCAAGAGTCTCCAACCAAAAAAAGTCCAGGGACAGATGGCTTCAGTGAGGAATTCTACCAGAAATTCAAAGAACAGTTAATACCAATTCTCCTCAAAGTATTCCACACAATAGAAGCAGAAGGGTCATTGCCAAACTCTTTTTATGAGGATTCAATAACCTTGATACACAAGCCATACAAAGACACAACTTAGAAAGAGAACTACAGACCAATATCCCTCATAAACATTGATGCAAAAAT